CTCAGAGCCACATGCTCTCCGGCTGTTCGCTGTGCAACCGGAACCCAGGAAACGTCATCCAGCACCAAGCTGCCAGGGAAACAGAATTAGCAAAGAGATGGAGACGTCATGCGCTCTGGATGTCTTTGTGTGCCGCCCTGGTATCCCTGCCCTTCCCTGTCCTCAGAAGGCAAAAAACGAGGGGTCCCAGCTGGCTTGCCTGGCGGACTCCTATCCTCACCTTATTATCTCTCTTTGAAGCTAAACCAGGCCTTCCAACCAGCAGCGGAGGGCGGGGCAGCTGCTTGACCCTCAGATCTTCCTCATGAAGCTTTGAAAGTGGGACCCACGTTGGGGTGGGGCACGGGGGCTGCTTTAAGAGACAGGCCCTTGCCAGCTCCACCATGACTCAGGAAGGCCAGACTCGGTGTGAGACAGAGGACAGGGGAAGAAGAAAGGCGAGCTGCAAAGACGTTTGCTTCCTCTGCCACCAGATCAGTCCCAGCATGTAGACCAAGCCCTTCCAGGACCAAGCAGCCCTGAAACCACTGAGATGGAGGAGGAGTCAGGATAGACTTCATGGAGTTGGAGGTCGACTGGAAAGACAGGAAATGAAGATTAAAAAGGTGACCTACAGCTGTCTGTCATCCCTTTCAACGGCATTGGTTTTGTGAAGCCCCCAGTGGCAGCTTCAGACCGGTTCAAACCCAAGGGCGGCACCACCACCGTGGGGGAGGCTCTGGCTCCTGCTCCAGGGGCCCCAAGGGGCAAAGAAAGGCCCCATGCCCTGAGCCAAGGCTTTTGCCCTGCCTGCCCGCTCCTTCACTCACTTGTGTTGTCTGTAGAAGGTGTGGCACCATCGGAAATGTTTCTTTGATCGATGACTTGTGTCCTGGTCAGTCCCCCACCATTGTAAGCCTCACAAGAGTAGAGACACACCATGCTACCCCCATGCCCGGGACAGAGCCTGGCCTGGAGTAGCCCCACGAGAGACGTTTGTCAGCTAACTGAAGGACACCTAAGGAGAATTTTAGCCTAAGAGCATCCATACTCCCTCAAAGAAGGCTTCTGGTGCCAGTGTCTTTGTGGCCTCCGTCCATGGGCCAAGGGGAGCCCGAGCCCACAGGTCTGAGGAGTGGGTGTCCATACAGGTGTGGGAGACCCCAGAACTCAAGTCTTGATTTGATGGTCTCCATGCTGAACACTGTCTTCCTGTCATTTCAAAGGAAAAGTCAGAAGAGTGGGTGAGCTGTTTCCAAATATGGCTTCCAAAAATCACCAGAAAAAGGTGCTTTTCCTAGTGGAGTAATAAACAAAGAAACAAATGCACACGCTAGGACTCATTAGCCTTTGAACCTATGACACCGAGCCGGGTGCCTTCTGGTGCAGGTAGGCTGGCTCTGTGAGGGCACTCACTGGAGTGGGGGGCTGTCTGCTGGGAAAGGAGGCAGGAGCTTCCTAATGGTGGGAAAAGACATCTCTGCCGCCTCCTCTCCTTTTGTCCCTCCTTCTACTCCCCCCTCCCCCCCTCCACCCGCTTCTTCCCTGTTTCCCTCCCTCTCTCCCTTCTCTGTTCTCCGCTTCTCTCTCCACATCCCGACCACAACGTGCTGTAGAAAATAAGGCTTCGGGTCCATCGCCTTCATTCCCCCAGAGCCATTCCTTTGGAATCCCCTTCCCAGTCAGAATGCTCTCCTCCTGAGACCCAGGAACCATGTGTGGCCGCCCTGTGTGAGAGTCTTGATGCTCTTCTGCCCTCTGCCTCTGCCCCAGCCCCATCCAATTAGAGGGTCCCTGAGCCTCAGTAAGTGGTGGAATCACTCATGGGACTGTTCTTTGCCTGCAGCGGTGAGAGGTCACGCACACCAGGTGATCATACCCGGGCTCCCAGGAGACATCCGCCAGTGGCGGCTGAAGGGTGACACTGACAGGGCGGCCTGGCCTGGCCTCCCGGTGGGTCCTGTTTTGGGCTTGGCTCTGCTGGGGGGACAGTGGTGGGGTTCAGGCCAGCCTTTTGCTTCTCTCTCCTGCCTAGCGCACACAGATGAAGCGCTAGCCCTGGTGTGAGTCCCCAGGGACAGGAGGGGGCTTTGCAGCTTCTTGGGCATCAGCATGAAGCTTCTAGGAAGGCAGCCTCAGGACTTTCTGGATCACCACCCTAGTGGAGGTCTGTCTGAAGGTGGTCTTGGCTCAGTGGGAGGAGGCGTGACAGGGAAGAGCCAGGGCCATGGTTCTCGAGGAGACTTCCAGGGACCAGCATGGGGAAGTACGCCGAGCTCACACAGGGCCCGCCTGACGTGGCCCATCGGTGTCACCTGGTACAGTAGGACCGAGCGCCGTGGCAACCGCAGCCCTGGATAAAGCAGCCCTTGGGTGAACTCCATAGTCCGCGATTGCAAAAAGCCACAGGTGGCCTGGGCCATCCTTCAGCGTGTCCTGTCACCAAGCAGCAACTTTCAGCCACCGCTTCCTCCTGGTCACTGAAAACATTTGTCATTTCCTGTTTTCTCCATTTTCCAACAATTTCTAATTGTCGATGTCAAAAGGCAACAACCGTTTTCTTGGGGCTTATCTCTGGAGCACATTTTCAGATTGAGAACAAAGGATGGGGGCCTCCATCTGCAAAACAAAGGAAGCCGCCTCCTCGGGAGGCCCGGAGAGAATGCTCTGGCTGCTGGGCCAGGAACAACAGGACCAGGCCGAGAGCAGAAGGCTGGAGATCCCTTCCCCAAGGCCCCAGCGACATGAAGAGACCCCACTTGATGGTAGCACCCCAGGATGTCAGAGACCTGTCCCCCAGGCCGGCGGCAGCTGTGCTGTTTGGCCTGGGGAGTTTCTGTAGCCGTGCCACTGCCCAGACCTTCCCTTAAACTCTGGATGCTCTGAATTGGGTGCTTCCTTGGATAAACACTCGCCACCATCCAATTGTCCCTGTAACCAAGGACTGTTTGAGAAGCATTCTCTTTCATCTGCCAGACCCTGCCCACTTCCTCCAACCTGACTCCTGCCCCAGCCCAGCCTTCACCCTTCACTTGTGTTTCCCATGCCCCGGCGGCAGCTCTCCTCTCCACCTCCTTCCTTTGGACTCTTCTGCCCCACTGCCCCTGCTTTTTCTTTGGTGGCACTCTGTAGCCTCCACCTGCCCACCCCCCCCTCTGTACAACTATGTTATTTGATGAAATGAATGGAGCAGCCGGTGGGGATGGAGTTAGGGTCGGTGGAGACAGCAGGGCACAGGAGCCCGTCCCCAGAAGCAGCAGGCTGGAGAGGCAGAAGCACTGGGTCTGCAGTTAGGAGAGCCTGCACCTCCCAGCCAGGTGGCTTTCAGCGAGTCGTTTCCCTTCTGTGAGCCTCAGTTGTCACATCGGGAAGCGGGGAACCATGGATCTGCACAGACCTCCTAGGGCTGGTGGAAGGGTCGAAGGGAAGAACAGAAGAGAGAAAGCTGCCTTCAGAAATACGAGCCCACCCTGAGTGTCTCAGGCAGATCCTACAGCTCCCTCGCTTCCTGATGGCGCGGCTTTGGGTGGTCACATGACCCCTGTGCTCTTCAGGTCCTATCCCCCAACCCCACACTTTAGCAGGAAGAGGGCAGCTCCAGGGCTGGAGAACAGCATCCCCACCACCCACATCCCAGCAGCCCTAGGGGAGGGGGTGTGGGGACAAGAGCCCTGACAGGAAGCTGGCTAAGGGCGGGCTGGAGAAATCGCTTGTGATGTAGTGCGCCCACTGCCATGTGTTGGTCCTCTCTGCCTTGGCAGGAACCCAGGCCAGGAACTGCCACCAGGCCTGGGAGCCGGGCACTCTTCCAAACGCCAGCCCTCTGCCCTGCCCCGCCCCCTTCCCACACCAACACCAGGCAGCCTGTGTTGTAGGGTCAAGTCTCCTGGCCTCTGGAGGGGATGCAGTTTCCCAAGTGGCCTCAGGGAGGTGTGCTCCCTGGCAGAGATGCCGGTAGTGGTCGGCTCACTAGGGAACAGACTTCTTGAGAAAGGGAGCGAGATGGCAGCGGGTGAGCACTGGACTGGCAGTCAGACCTGGTTCCCAGTCACAACCTGGCACAAAGTGCTGAGGGTTTTGGGGCAAGTCGCGCCTTCTCCAGGCCCTCAGCTGGTTCTCTCCCAGCATCCCCCTTGAGCTGCTCCCAGACTCAGTGCTGGGACTGCAGCCCAGAAGCTCAGCCCCGCCCCCTGCCCACCCAGCTTGGAGATGGAGTCTGGGGAGCTCATCCTAGTTGTCCTTGATGCAGCCAGTCAGGACAATGAAGGGAAGCTGGCAGTGAGTGACTAGTTCAGGTGTTATACAGTGCGTCCACCTGACCCTGAGATCATCCTGCCCTTCATGCCAGGACCACCCAGAACAAGCCTTAGCCCGTCCCCCATGACAGCCCTGGAGAGGCTGGGCACCCCACCACAACGTTGTCCAGAGTCTGCTGTGCCCCAGCCCTGACAGCCCTGGTTGGCTCAGCTGTTGTTTGCCTGCGTGGTTCAGAGTCCAAGCCCTACCTCCATCACTTAGTGTCCTCTGAATGCGGCCAGTTTGTCTGGGTCTCCCTGAGACTGGCATGCCCACACTGCTGTCAGGACCGCAGACAGGGTCTGGCCAAGGCAGAGCAGTATAGGACTGTCACCTCCCTCCTTCTCTACTCTGCTTCTATTAATGCAACCTAATGTTACATTTGCTCTTTTGGTGACCACATCTCACTGCTGACCCATCCTGAGCAGAAGGACATCCAAAAATGCCTCAGCCTTTTCTCTACGTGCTCTTGCTGTTAAGCTCTGTGTCTCCTGCCCCATCCTATGCTGTCGCAATTGGTTTTTTAACCCAGGTGCAGAATCTTACTTTTATTTACCTGTGAAGTTTTGCTTGGGAGGGTGGGGCATGCATGTGAGTGTGTGTCGGTGTGTTCACTCATGCTATCTGCTACACCAAAGCCAAGTCCTGAGTCCTCACGCAGCGATCCCAAGGCTGGTATTTCTCAGTAGCCCTCATGTAACCCTTCTTTTTCATCTTCTGTTTAGCAAGAGAAGCAGAGATCAGGTCTTATGGCAATGACCCCTGAACAGCAGAGTGCATATGTCGCTCAACAGATGAGTCAATTTCAAGGTAAGCAGTTAAGGTCAATGTTCTCAAAGGGGCGGGCCGGGGGTGTGTATGTGAGGTTGGGGGAGAGTTCACCCTGGAATAAACGGCTACTGAGATGTCTGTGAAAGCATTGGGGGAAAGAGAGGAGGTCCGCGGGGTGATTCCATAGCACGCAGGTTGGATCTGTCCCATTGAAAACTTAAGTAGGATCTCAGTCGAAGTCCCAGTCTTCACGACTCTGAAATCACTGTCTTATTCAAGAGATTGATTCAACCATGGCAGCTAGGACTGTAATCAAGATTTATGGGCTAGGGATATAGCTGTTAGCAGAAAACCAGACATGGTCTCTCCTTCAAGGAGCTTCCAGACTAGCTGGGGAGACAAATGTAAAGCAGTCATCACCAGCCAGTGAGGACACTGGGCCATGCCAAGGGCATTCTTGCCTGGGGCTCAGGGGAGGCTGCTTCCCCGCCAGGAGATGTGTGGCATCTTCATTTGAGCCCAGTGCCGCCATCATACTATTGGTCCTCCTTTCTCTTGCAAAAACCCCTGTTCCTTTGGGCCTGGTACCAGCTGAGTGTCCAGCCATCCAGGCCAGAGCAGCATGTCAGGCAGGCTTTAGGGGCAGCGCAGACAAGTTCCAGGAAAGCCAGTGTCAAGGGTATGAGCAGTGACAGAGACTGAGTACAAAAGCAGCCCTAGACCCTGGCCTCATGGAGTTTACAATCTACTTGAAGAGACAGACAGATAAGTTGGCATTTTCAGTCCAACGTGGTCTGCTCTCGGATGGAGGGGGAGCTGAGACTACAGACCCAGCGCATCTAGGCAGGCTTCCCACAAGAACCGCGGTCCAGGCTGAGGATGGAGGAACAGAGGGAGCGGGGGATGTTCAGTAGGAGCCGGGGGCAGAAGGTGAGAGGTCAGTGGTGGGCCAGTGGCTCCCCACCAGCAGCTGGAGCCCAGGGTGAAGACATCTTTGGAACTGACCCCCACTTGTCTCTTTCTGTAGCCGTCCAAGATCAAGTCACCTCCAAGTGTAGCCGGACCAAGGCAAGCTCCCCTTCCAGCCAGTACCTGATGCCACCCAGAGCTGGGCTCCTTCAGAACCGTCCGAGTCCAGAAATGATCCCGCCCACCAGGCACCAGAGCCATGAGGGCATGGGCATGATCTCACCCACTCTGGGCAAGCAGCAAGGAATTTTCAACTCTAGTCCCCCGTTTCCCATACCCTCCCCCTCGGGCCGCACCTCCCTGGGCAACCTTGGCTCCATCTGCCAGCATAGGCAGATTCCTGAGGCCGTGCCGGGGTTCTGTCCCAGCCCCCTGGGCAGCCAGCCCCTGAGTCCCCACCAGCTCAGACAGCCCTCTGTGCCAAGAATGCCCACTGTGTTCAACAATGCTGCCTGGGTGGCAGCGGCAGCAGCTGCCACCCCAGCAGTCTCGAGGGCACCACCCCCAAGCCAAGCAGCTAATGGCATCCATCAGCATTTTGATAGCAACTCCATCTTTGCCAAGGCCCCCATGAGAGCCCCCCTGGGAGCCCCAGCATTTCCAACGCATCAGGCAGGTGTGCCCCCCAGTCAGGTGGCCCCAGGAGGCAGGCCTGGCCCGAAGGTGAGTGCTGCCCCAGCCAAGCCCAGCTTCAGCCTGCTGGGCACCCAGAACCTCAGACAGAGTCCAGTGTGGGGTCCTGTGCCCATGCTGAACGCCACCAACTCCCTCCACGAAAGCATGGCCAGCTTTGGTCCCATGAGTCCCATCCGGGGCATCAAGCTGCCAATCTATATGGCCGCTGCCGCCACTGCTGCCACAGCCTCCACCATTGCTACCAGCCAGTGCCGTGGTCCCGTTGACAGAATGGGCAGCCCCCCTGGGCTGCCCCCCTGCGGCATTTGGTCCCAGCCCCCACTAAACGATCTGATTTCGCCGCCTGACTGCAGCGAGGTGGATTTTACCGAAGCTGGCTCGAAAGGCCCCATACGGAGCCCAGAGGAAGACTGGGTGTGTAACCTGCGGTTGATCGATGACATTCTAGAGCAGCATGCTGCGGCTCGAAACGCCGCAGCCCGGAGCGCTGGCCACGTCGCCCAGGGTAACGGTGAGCTTTAAATGCCCGTAGGAACCCCCATGGTGACATCGCTCCAGGGAGTGGTGTAAAGCCATAGCAAACTCACAGCTGGCCCCACACGGCCACACAGTTGTTTCCTCATTACAATTTGAGGGGTGTCAGCCCGCGCCCATCCCTCTCTCTACCTGTGAGAAAATGGAAAAGCTGGTGATTTTTCAAGCTACCTGTACATACCTGAAAATTTTGTAAATGGTTTTCCTAAACATTAATGACAGAAGTATTTATACTTCATTTTGTGACTTTGTAAATAAAGTGACGGCTTTTGTTTCAGTAGAGTTGTGTTTATTACGCATTGTTTGTGTTTATTACGCATTGTTGCGAATATGCAGACTGTTGCCCTCACCTGCCCGCCATACCTTATAAGCCAGGTGGCCAAGTCAAGTATAGTTTTGATGCTTTAAGAAATGTGAAGGTGACCAAGAGGCGGTGTATAAACTGACAAATGCCAACTAGAAAGCCACTTGGCCATTTATTTCCATTTCCACTAAAACTTCCGTCACCCTGTGTGATTCTTAATCTCTTTTGCAAACCTTTCAGTCTCTGCTAGCTCTTTCCTGATGAGCATGTTATAGCAGAAGCCGTTTTATCATAAGTGCCGTGTCAAGGAATTATTTGCCAAGAGGCTGGAGAGTTCTGTAGATTTGGGAGAAGCAAAGAGCTAGCCTGTGGGCTGAGCACTGTCTGAGCTGTCCACCTTGAGGATGTTGAGTATCCCCTCTTCATCCCTCAGACGGTTTGCACTACTCCAGCAGCACCTTGCAGGGTGGAGGTGAGATGTTCCTGGTTTCAAGCCTTTCAGTATGTTTTGATTGTGAGGCTCTGTGGTTTGGGGGAAAATGAGTCTGTAAACATTAATAGTTGATTTGGGGTTTGTCTTTGATGGTTTCTCTCTGCAATTATCTTCATGTATATTTAAGTGTCTGTTATAGAAAACCCACACCCACTGTCCTGTAAACTTTTCTCAGTGTCCAGACTCTGTGTAATCACATTTTAATCGCCACCTCGTATTTTCGCCTCTACATTTGAAATCTGGCATCTGTTTCAAGCCAGTGCGTTTTTCCTTCGTTCTGTAATAAACAGCCAGGAGAAAAGTGCCTCTATGTTTTCATTTTTCCAGGGAGCATTCAGGACCTACAGAGTCCTGTCAGCTAAGCCTCCCAGTGGCTTTGGTCCTTTCCAAGACCAGTCCGTGTCTTGGGATTCTTGGGCACCGAAGGGAGAGGGATAAGAAGTTTGGGCAGCACGTGCTGCGATCCTTTAGCATCACAGCATAGAAGCACGTCATTTTTGAGCCCCTCATTTTACAGAGGAAGAAATAGGGGAGGCCACTAAGGTGACTCTGCACTGGAATGCTGAGGACAGGGGGAGGCCTGCGCTGAGAATCTAGACTCTCCTACCATCGTCCTCTTTCCACTGAGAGGATGGCAGATCCAATTAAAGATCCAGCTCCTCCCATGTAATGGATACCCACATAGGGCGGATGGGATGGGGGCTGGGGGGAGGGCTGATTCAGGACTGCCGCCAGGGAGAGGAGGGTCTTCCCGACTCCCCATCCCCTCTTCCTTCCCCCAAAGCCTAAGCTACAACCAGCCCTGTTCGTCCCCAGCGCTAGAGGCCAGAGGAGAGAGGC